CCTCTGGCTGAGGGGTCAGGCCCCTGCCAGACCGTTAGCTCTGCAGCAGAGGCACCGTCCGTCCAGCTGGGCCTCCCCAGGGGCTGGCCCGAATTTTACCGAAACACTGGGGGCACCTTTCCTCTGCTCCCAGCTGCTGCAGTGGGTAACTTCGGAAGGCACAGGCCAGCTCCCACTCCAGGAAAACCACCGAGCAGAGAGGGAGGACTGTAACTGACCTTTCAATTTCATTTTCAGGTTAAAAAAAAAAAAAGCTGTGATCTTTAGAGTCGAGTAAAGTTGTTTAAATGTAAACACGTATTCTTGGGCCTGGAAGGAGAGTGGAATGAAATCCCCGAGTGATCCCTTAATGCCACCGAAATCCCACTCTCGTGCCTCTGCCAGAAGAGAGGGATCGCCACTTGCACAGAGTCACGCACTTGAAAGGGACTGGGCGCAGAGAGCTCTGGAAAATGCATTACGGCAGGGAAAAGGGAATGCAAGGGGGTTCCAGATATTTACTATACTGATAAGGCAGCTTAAGAGGGATAAATAATCCTCTCCGAGAATTTGAAGGGTCGTGGTGAGGCCATCAGGAGGACCCAAGCCAGCCGGCCCCAGGCCCCAGCCCCCAGCCCCTCAGACATCAGAAGCCACACCAGTGCTGACTGGAAATCACTGGAAGGGAGGGAGAAGCAGGGAGCCCCAGGGACCAGCGCTGTCACCTGGGACCTTGCTAGCAATGCAGCCCTGCCCGGCCTGAACCTGGTTTGAACGAGCGCCCTTGTGACCCCAAGGAAGGCTGAGCAGTGCAGCGGCCCCTGGGGAGGGAGGCCTCCTGCCCCCACGGTCCGGCACAGACACTTAACACGCCAGGAGGGCCGGCTCCGAGACCTGCCTTCCCTGGGAGGAAAAGTGCTGGATGGCTAGGCTTTCCTAGGGACAGCGGAGAGAAAAACAGGCGGGGTTTCCGAAGGCTGTTGTGTGGTCGCAGCACTTTACACCCAAGGAATAGCTGGACCTGTCACGTGGCCGCCCTGGCAGGAGACGCAGAGATAGAGCCTCAGCCATTTCCCAGTGCCAGGAGCCAGGCTGTCGGGAGCTGGAGAGAGGAAGCCTGCTCCGAGGGAGTGCCAGGGACCCCTGGAGCCCCGCTGGGCCCAGAGACAGCCTGGAGAACGGCGGGCGGCGGGGCAGAGAAGACCCACAGCTCCTCTCCCTCCGGGCGAGGCTGTTTCCTGGCCCCCAGGGAGCCACGCAGAAAGCAAATGCATATTTGATGACCTTTCTCTGCAGGCAGCCTGCTTTCTGAAGGGCCGAGTGCAAGCGCAGCGGGGCCCAGAGCGGACAGAAGGAAATGAAGGAACTGGGAGGCCTACAGAGAAGCTAGGACAAGCCCTGGGAAGAGTGGGCTGGCGTGAAGCGGTGCGGATTTACACAGGAGCCGTGACGGTAGCCACCACAGCCTCACCCAGCCTCCCAGTTTCTGTGGGCCAGGCTCCTGGAAAAGAAGCTCATGGTCCAGGAGAACGCCTGGCAAAACAGTCCGAAGGAGCGCAACACGGAGGAGTCTCCTGAGCACAGCCGCCCCTCACCTCCTGACCGAACCAGATACGAGGGAGGGAGGACAGGATCCCTGCCTCTCCGCTGCCCAAAGGAAACTGAGTTGCCTGCATACAGGGGCGGAAGCCACGCAGCGGCGCCAACCACGCACGACTCTGACAGGATTGGTCGCGAGGCGCGCACTGTCACCCACACTGATCTCCTGGCTGCAACCCACACACACAAGGTTGTTCCTTTTACGAACACAACCCACCGGCCTGCTTGCCCTTCCCTTCTGAGCTATAATGCCAACACAAAGTGCGTTTTCCTACAGCATGGTGCTGCTCTGTTGGTACCACCGAAGGCACTGAAAGGGGGCTTCAAGGGCACTTGAGAGTGACCGACTCACCCCACCTACCCCACCCGCCTTCCCCACTGAATGCCCCTCTTGCCGTTCCGTCTGTCTGTCCCGGGGACTGGGACACTGCTGCTATGGACAAAGTGCCAGAGGAGCCACCGGAGCCCCTCTGCAGCCCTCACAACCCTCAATGCAACCATGTCCGCGGGGAGGCCCCCAGGGGTCCTACCAGAGCCAGAGCCGCCTGGGAATCCCGAGAAGACACAGGACTCAGAGGCCACCCAGTCACACCGACGGCGGGTGCCGGTCACAGGAAGACTCCCAGTCTGTGGGCTGCCTTCAGGTGGGGGGAGTGGACATTACTTCTGGCCTTCTAAAGAAAAAAGAAGACAAAAAAAAAACCTCGCACCAGAATATGAAACTTGCAGAAACACACACACAACACATCTACTTTCAGGGGGGTAAATAAATGTAACTGTGAGATCGGGCCACGGTAGCTCCGCTGCCCGAACGTCCGCAGTGTGTCTCACACTGGTGACTTTTTCCCAAACGGGCGGCTGGAAGGGACGCTGAATCCAGCTGGGACTCGCGGCTCAGCGAAGCTCACACACAGGGAAGGGAGGCGCTGCCAGCCTGGGCAGGGCGCCTGAGGGGCTCCCAGACGAGGGGCTGCCCAGGGCAGTGGGCCCTCACTTCCCCCGCTGTCACCCGGGGGCCGCCCCCATCAGGACAAGGAGGCCCCTGGGAAGGCCCTGCGTTCTCCCAAGAGAAGGACCAGAAAGACAGAATCGTGGGCACCAGGAGCGGTGAGGACGGTTTGAAAACGACTTACTTTATCTTCCCTCCAAGTGGACCGGCGGGTCAACAGGTGACTGACTCAACTCGTCTCACTAACGTTCTTCCATTTGTCTCTGAATTAGGTTTTTTTTTTTGCATTGTGCTCAACTTCAGCACCTTCACAGGTTCCATCAAGTTCTCAAACATGAAAACAAACCGGAGTCCCTAGGAAACAACGACTAGGTTAGGGCACAGGGCTGTTGAACAGACGGCGAAAGGCAGGCACAGCTGTCTGTGAAACACACGTGGTCCTCTGCCCGAGCTTTCTCTGAGCGCACCGCCAGGCCAGGGCTTCGCCTGCACCACGTCATTCTCAGCAGCAACTCAGTAAGGTCGATGGTGCCGTCCCCAACTCACGGACAAGGGAGCAGGCACAGAGATCAGGTGACTTTTGAAAAGTCACACCTGCTGTCTCCAAAAAATAGAAGAAGCTCAACTGATTTTACTCTTTGTGGGCCTTCTCAGTCCCGAACAGAAGCAGACCTGATGTTCTTGCATTTTTAATGGGGGAAGAGTCACACTTCTGCATACACGGAGATGCCAAAAAAGGAGAGTCCTGGCCCACCGCCTTTCTCTTCAGGGGAGGGACACGTGGTGCTCGTACAGATCAGCCCCACAGGCCCTCCCACATGTTCCCAAGCAACCAACCAGAGAAACCACATGCTGGTTAAAGAGGAACCACTGGAAGCTTCTTTCTTTAGGAGTGTTACGCACCTCGGCACAAACAGGATCGAAAAACAGCACAGCTGCTTTTACAAATGCACGAGGCACTTTCCCTGTGAACTTGGTCTGACTGTGAAACTAATATGTGCTCCCAATACCTTCTTCATTACGTAAAGCAATAAAACAGGACATGGCCCTAGGACACCCACAGAAAGCAGTTTGCGCGGGCTGCCGGTTAGGTCTGGCTTCGCCACCTGCCTCCCCCAGATGCTCCAGGGGCCCCATGGAGACACCTGTACAGACCCTGGTTGCAGGCTGAGCTAGGACCCGGCACAAACCACACACTCTCCTCCTGAACCACTCAGAGGGCCTGGGGACAGGATACCGGGGCTCCTGCAAACTAGCTGTCTGTTCTTTCCTGCCCTGGGCCCTAATGCCCTGAGTGTGGGAGGGAAGCCCGCCACTTCCCAGAGACCCAGGGCCACAGACCCGCGGGGAGGAAGCGGCTGGGAGCTGTCCATGGTGGCGCCGCGCCTGGGCACGCACAGCCGCCGGCTCCCAGCCCCCAGGCGCGCCCGGGCTCTCTCTCCAGACCGCTGGAATGGAAAGGCTGGCCCCGGGTTCACCATCTCCGGGATGGGGCTGCAGCCAGGCAATGGCTCACGCATCAAAAGGTTAGTTCAGAAGGGAGTTCTCACCTGTGGGCAGCGTTGGCTGCAGGGAGCCGGACTCGGGACTTCAAATCCGGCCGCTGGCTGCGCGCAGTGCTGGACCCTTGGTCGCTGAGGGCGCTGAGTGCAAGTCTGAAGCCGAGGACCTCGGCGCACCGAGCTCCTTTCTCAAGGGCACAGGCGTCCCGCCAGTCCGTTCCAGAATGTCTCTGCCCCTCGTTCCCAGAGCAGCGAGCTGGAGACCTGGCCACGGCCCGAAGCTGCGCTCTGCCAGGTCCCTGCCTTTCTTCTTCCCAACCTAATTTGACCTTCCTTGGAGCCGATGCCCCTTGCCGAACCCTCTTCCACAGGTGCCAGGTTTGGAACCTCAATCTAAACATCCGCAGGGGCCTGCAGGTCAGCTAACCTTCAGCTGTTTCCACCCGATCCGTGCCAGCACCACGCTGGGTGCGTAGCGCGGTCCGGAGGCAGAGGGGGAACCAGAGAGAAGACGGGCTGAGACCCAGCGGCAGAGCGCACGCCCACTGTGCTCGGCGCGAGCGGCTCCCTGTGGGCTGGACTCTGCAACCTGACTCCGAGCAGTCCCTCCGCGGGGGACTCAACTGGGCTTGCGCCCCGGAGCCGTTCAGAATCTACGGAAAACTAGGCTCTGTCCCCGCTGGATGCGCTCCAGGGACACTGGCGCCCCTGGCACCTGCCGCTTGCAAAGGATCACACAATCACAGAGAAATCTCACTCACGGAAGACAGTGACAGGGGTGTGTGCAGTGACCGACGCATGGACGAACAGACAGAGGGACAGAGGTGGGCTGCACAGCATGAAGTGGACAAACAGAAGCCGTTGCTGGGCAACGTCTTCCCGAGACCCGTGGAGCAGCCAGACCCCTCTCTTCCCTCCGCTCAGAGGCTGTGCGGTCAGCGCAGCCAGGCACGCCGGGCCGGCCCCCTTACCTCCGCGTCTGCAGCCCAGGCGGTGCCACGCCTCCCGGGCCAGGAGCGCAGGGACCGGCGTGTCTGGCAGCAAACCGCCAGACGTGGGCAGGCAGAGCAGTGGTTGGTCTGGAAAAGCGGGGTTCGGGCCCTGCGCTGCTCCCCAAGCCGCTCGCTTGGTCCACCTCGCCCGACTCTGCTCGACTCGACCTCCCAAGCTGCGCTCTGCTCGCGATCCCCGCCGCCCGCCAGCGCGGCGGCTTTATAGCTGCCTGCTCGACAGGCAGCGCCGCTGGCTCCTCCCCGGGCCGCAGCAGCCCAGCCACAACCCGCCCCCGCCGAGCTCCGAGGAGGCGGGGGCCCGCGCCCCGGCCGGAGCCAGGCGCTCCGAGAAGGCGCCTCGGCCGCCGGGTGAGGGCGCTGGAGCCCGGGACTCGGAGCGGCGGCAGCGCGCGCCCGGGGCCGCAGGGTGAGGGTCGCCGTGCACGGGCGTGAAACCCCGGGCGCGCTGGTGGCTTCCCAGAGAAGGTCACGGAGGAGATGAGAAAGCCCTGCGTCTGCCACGGAGTCGCCTCGAGATGGGGCTTAGTGTCAAATCTTTCTTTTTTTTTTTTTTTAACTTACCGAGAAAGAGAGGTCTTAGAACAGACCCTGGTATAGGCTCCGAGCAGTACCTCGGGGTGGCAAATGGTTGGCTTCAAGTCAGGGGGACTTCGATTGAAACCGGGGTCAGACACACCAGTTATGGGATTGTGGACAGGGATGTTATAACCTCTCTGGGCCTCAGTTTCCCCCTCAGGAAAACGGGTTCTGCCACGCGTCCTCTCGGGAGTGAAGGGAGGATGTGAAGGAGGCTGAGGGGAGTGGTCGGTAGCACCCAGGAGGTGCTGGGTGAGTCAGAGTCCCTCCCGTCTGTGGGGAGGGCTCTGCGCTCCGCTAACTGGACAGACGAGACCTTTAGGGGACAGGAAGGCACGGGTGCTTCAGGTTGTCCTCACAGAGGAAAATGGACTACTGGCAAAAGCCCCCAACAGGTCCCTGGGCACCTGAAGTTCCCTCTCAACTCAGCCACTACCTTGCATGTGACCGGCTGCCCACCGCCCTCTCTGGGTCTATTTACTGTCTGTAAAACGAGGACTTTGGTACCAGTTCTCCGTCCCTCCTCCACTTGTTGCAGCTTACAGTTCAGCCCCCTCCCCTGGTGTCCTGGAGTGCCCCCCAGAAAATGCCTTCTCCCCCTTCCTGCCAGCCAGTGCGGGGGGCTGCGCCCAGGCAGCACACACCCACTCCACAACTCGACATCTGGCCAGAGGGGCCTGCTGGAGCCCTGTCCACCTCCCCCGGTTGATCGCCTGGGGCACAGCCGGGGCCGCCACCTTCCCCTCGGGCATGCCCCGGAGGCCCCTGGGGTCAGTTGGCAGGGTATCGGCCCTTCCTGGACACAGTGGAGAAGAAGGTGGGTGCAGTGACAGGCCTCCCTCCCCAGCCTTTCTTTCCAGCAAATTTAGAGGGACCAAGTGTCCCTTCCTTTCCTTAGTAGGAGCCCCCACATCCCAGAACCCACAAGCACTTGGGGGATGCTGAGCACCTGGTCTCGGGGGAGAAGAGTTGGTCAGCCTGGAGCCGGCCCCTCTCCTGCCAGAGGAGAGCAGACCTGGGCCTGCGGGGGCTGTGCCCCCCCCCCGGAGGGACCTGCCCCCCCAGGCGTCCAAGAGATGACACGGTAACAATGGGCTCCAGTGTGGTGATGAGCTCTGAGAAGTGCTTTGTCATGTTTTCTCAAAGCACAGAAATGCCGGGCACATTCCTCTGGCGTCCAGCTTTCTTTATCTCAGACCAGTGCCCCCGGGAGAGGAGCGATGCTGATGAGTTACAGACAGGCTCCGCGCCTGCAGCCAGACGCCTCCGCCCCAGCTCCACGCAGCCTCCCACTCAGCACCCAGTGATGGACGGGCTGTGCCGGGTGACTCTGGACCAACGCTGACAACGTTCCTCTGGCCGGACGACGACCCGCACTTCCCTCCCTCTGAGCTCTTGTTCTTGTAAGTGCAGCTGTGGGAGCTGGTCACTCTTGTCACAGTCCCCATGGAGGGTGTCCAGGTGGACGGGAAATGCTCTGACAGGTGTGACATCGCCCAGAAAGCCTGCCCTTCCGTAGGTAGGGTGCAGCCACCCCCCCACGCCTGTTCATGGTTCCCACAAGCTGGCCAAGCCCTACGTTCCTAGACCCAAATCTGTCCCTCAGCTCAGGGGTCCCCACACCACCAGCTAACCAGCAAATCCAGCCCCTAGCCCTAGAGCAGCCCACCTGGGAAGCTACAAAAGCAGGCCACACCTGTGGCTCCATCCTCCAAGCCTCCAGATCCGGTTTTGCTGAGGAAAACATCAGGCAAGCCTGAGGAAACCGGGCCCTGGAGAGGTGGGAAGCAGCAGGCAACTGGGGTAAGGGGCACATGTAGCCCACCCCCAGAAGCAAGGCATCAGGCATCCCAATCTTAAGAGGCTCACTAATCATGGTCATTTTAAAGTTAAACCAACAGGGGTCGCCCTTGCACACTGAGCCCGAAACTGGCATCTGAAAAGGGAACTTCCCAGCCCCAGGCACTGGGGCCCGATTTCCAGGACGAATACACTGCTCAGTTCCTGTTTTGCTGGCTGCAGATGAGGTTGCCCGGCCAAGGAGACGAGTCCTCAGTGTTTCTGGTGAGTGGAGGTCTGAGCTGGAATGTGGGACGGGAAGTCCTAGAACGCTGGCCAACCACTAGGAACTCTGCAAACGGATTTCTACATTTTCCTGTTCAAACTCATCATCACGAAAGAGAAAGAACATTCTTTTCTTGTGTTTTTTATGTCTATAATAAAAGACATGTAACCCTGTGTGTGATGTTTTTATGTCATGAATTTTTTCCCAAATGCAAAAATCATGTGCTCCTTTGCACAGAATTCAGATAATGAACAAAGGAGAAATCACCTAACTGCAGACATGTCTGTACATTACAAAAAGCTTGAAAAATGTAGAAAGGGAAAAAAATCAGTTCTGTTCAAAGATCTGTTAATGTCAGTACACACACAAGTATGTCTGCATGCATAAGCTGCATGTTACACAGATGCACAGATACATGCACGTGTGTAGTTTTCCTCACGTAGCTGACTGTTTGGCCCTCATTCTTCCCCCCACACTGCAGGTCTGGGAGACAGAGGCCAAGCCTCTGCAGTTCCCTCCTTCACCGACCAGAGCGCCTGTGGTGTCCGACCAGCACGTGAGGGTCTGTCCGGGAGAAGTCCAGCCATCGCTACTACAGTGAGAACAGCTTGTGTGACACCGGTGTGACCTGGCAGCTGAGTAGAGTGGACTGGAATGCGCAAGCCTGAGCAACGACGACCTCACTGTCCGAGTCAGTGGGGGCAGCCGACGCCCTTGAGGAGCATGTGTGCTGTGTGGCTGTCACACTCAAAATGGCTGAGCCGGTACAGCAACGAATCTACATGAAATTCTGCGCACACGACCTTTGAGAACCGATTCTCTGCTCAGAGTGCTCCAATGTGCTCCTCGCTCAGAGCAAAATCCGGATGTGAAGGGGCCACCCGCTCGCTGCCATCCAACCGCAGGCCTTTACCGCCTGGCCCAGTCAACGTGGCCCCCAGTGCCCTTTGAGGGTCCCTAACACACAAACCCATTTCGGCCCATGGCCCTACCTGCTGTCAGCTGCCTGAAATGCCCTTTCCAAACTGTGCTCGACCCCTGTCTGCAGACATCTGCACGACCAGGTCCCCGACCCCACGGTTTTGCTCCCAAGTTTCAGTGTGCATCACCTCTCTCTGTAGTGAGTGATGCCTCTCAACCCACACACAGTGGGAAAAAACACCGGGCAGTAAACACAGCAGTCCGCTGACCTCCTGTCAGGAAGTGCAGGAAGTGCGGGGCTCAGGGACTGGTGAGAGTTCAGGCATGAGTGCCCTTCAGCAAAGGAGGCCCGGTCACTGGAGCAAGGCTGCTGCTGACTGGCTGGGCTCAGAAGCATGTCGCTGACAGAGGAAGTTCCTTCTGCAACAGTGGCACAGCTTAAAAACCTGTTCTCCTAGTTACTGTCCAGGGGGTACAGGAGCTATTCTCAGCAGGAATAGCTGAGAATGTTATATAGATATGTTATGGAGTCTAGGAAATGTTGGAAATGTTATATAGTCTAGGTTGGACGTTTTCAAACTGCAGTAGCAAGAATCAGATCCCACAGCCTGGGGGGCTTGTTAAAACAGAGCCCTGGGCCCCGCTGCTGCACACTGTCTGGGTCAGCTGGTCTGAGGTGGCCTCCAGGACGCTGCATTCTCCCCAAGCCCCCAGGTCTAGCATTTGTAGCATTTGTCCTTAATCATTTGCTGGTTAAGAACATATTTCACACAATGACACCCTAGTAAGTCTAAGGATTCTGGCCTATGTGAATTTGCTAAATGGTTATTAATCACAGCCACATCTATGTACATTTGAAAAAATAATGGAAAATAGGTGACCTACATGCACAGATAAAGGTTAGAAAGTATGAATTCTGCAACTCACTGAAGTAATTCCCTCCTGTTTATCCCCCCCATGCCCCTTTCCCACCCTCGGAGCGTGCGGCTGGCCCCACACTGGGCAGCCCTGGAGCACACACTTGCCGAGGAGTCACCGGGTTCCTGATTATTCTGTCTGTGGCACCTGACGACTGGCACATGAACTCCTATGGTCAAGGTATGAGCCACATCAATAAAGTGATGTAATTTGAAAATACGGGAGGCAGGCAAGTTTATAAAACAACTGGCTGATAGAGAAGGAGGGAGGGAGGGAGGAAGAGAGAGAATGGTTTTAGAATCTCCCCATGTCCTGAAGGACACCTGCCCCGCCTCACACCTGCGTATGTGCGGGGCGACGGCAGATCACGGCCGGGTCTCTGCGGCTAACCCGCCCTGCTGGCCGGACACACACTGTCTGGGGAGAAGGCCTGTCATTCACCCGAGGTGCACTGCCGCACACTGAGGTGGGGGCCGCGCATTGTAAACGTGGGGAAGAACACTTCCTGGGTTTCTGAAGATAAACATTTTTTACAAAGAAAATCCTCACTACAGAGAAAGAATCCAAGGGCCACCATGACACACAGAAGTCACTGCTACTGCGCGGTACAGAGCCTGGGAAGAGTAAGGATTCAGCGCGTGGCGCGTGACTGCTGCTGCTCGCCCATACATCCCCAGGAGGC